TGTCTGAATGCAAAGCCCATTCATTTGTTGATAGTTGCACTGTGCATGTGTGTAGTTTCCAAAGGATTAAAACAAAAAACATATCTAAGGTTCAGAAATATTGGACTTGGCAAATCCAAGGATTGAGCTTCCCAGGTAATAGTCTTAATGATATCACTTCCACAGTTTCTAGTTCAGGGAAAGAGGGTATGGTCAGATCACTCTTCCCAGGGAGGTTCCCCAAAGACTGTTGTCCCAAGTGGCATACCGAAGCATGTGGCCTTTCTTCTGTTGGGCTGATCATTACTCTACAATTTCGGGAAAAAGCAGCCAACGCTGCTCAATGGCGAATCACAGGCACACACAGTTTAGGGGGAGACATCATTCAATGTTTTGAAATAGTTGAAATATCTTACTTTTATTGAAGTATTTTTCCTAGTGTTTTTAGTGGATATGGTACATTAAAGGCACACATTCTATGGCCGGTAGTGTGTGAACATAAAGAAATATATTTGAATAATATCTTTAAAATATTTCAAAGTTTTATTAAATATTTTTATTCAGTTTTAAGATCACAGTTAAAGTACTTTAGCATGTTATACACATGACTTACATGTGCAATTTTTAGAAATATCAAATTAGGTATAAGATTTTGCAGAAAGAAATTATATAAATGTGTATATTGACTTTTACTACACATACATCTAAGAAAGCAATAATTCTGTTGTACCATTAAGTGGAAATCATTTATTACATGGCATGTTTACACCAACTCTAAAGAGAACCAAGCCAATTTCTGAAAGCAAAAAAATGAGCGATTCGGTCATGCTGAAACTGTCAACAGACTTAAGACCCGGTGGTCAAATGAAGCTATGGTTAATTTATGACATGGAAGTAAGCAATTCAAACCTATGAGAAAAGTTCATAATCTGGTATGTGGAATCTCAGGTGGTTTTATTCTTTTTCTTGACAAATTCCTGAGAGCAAGAGACTTGTTTAGTGCTAATAAAATGAAAAAAATGTTGCTGAGCAAGTCGCTGAGCTCCAGATGGCACACCTTCCCCACCCCCAGTTCTGCCGCTCTTAGAGCCGAGGCACTAATGTGAGGTGTTGGGGACATAAGCCCACACCTCTGGTGGGCCGCAAAGCGAAGTCAGTGTTCATTCAAGAAACTTGTGTCTCTGTGATTTAGGTTAGAGCTTGTGAGGTAAGATTTGCATTGCGCGTGGAAGGGTTTGGAGGCATTGAATTAGATTCTTGTTACTCAGGAACCAGTTCTGGCCCAAGTTATCAGGAAATCTTTGGAAGGAGTAGTAATGTTCACAATAACTAGTTCTGTGCATAAAAATCAATTTGAGGGCAGGATCAGTTTTGACCACTGACTGCAAAAAGAAAACAATGGCCATAGAATTTTTAACGACAAGGTTTCCTCTCTCCATTTTATAGTATAAATTATACCACCACAGATAAAATTTGGCCAGAAGAGGAAACTTTTTTTAAAAACGTATATTTATATATCTGAAGAAAAGGGTAGCACATACAGATAGGGATATTGTGAAGGAGTCAAATATATTTGTCTCTTTAGTCACTCTTTCGTTGCTTTTTTGTTCTGAAGCGTAAGGAAGATAGTGTCCCCAGTGAAAAGAACAAAGTCATTTAATATGGAGTATAATAAACTTAGCTATCACTTCCAAACTAAAGCAAAGCAGTTCATCAAACCCTGAATACTTTGCCAGACACATCTGGTAAGATGAACTGAACAACTGCTTCTTTTTTATTCTAAGTATGCTGTTAGTAAGATAATTTTTAAAAATCCCAAAATTCAAATAAAACAAATCCAAATCTAATTCTTTGGGAATGCTTGTCTAAACAAAAGCAATATCTAATTTAACAATTAGTACACTTTTTGTAAGGTGCAAAACAAGGACCTATTTGGGGAAAGCTAAATTTTAATTTCTACCTAGCAGTCATTCTGAATACTTTATAGGTCAAATGGAATAATAGCATCTGCTTCTACTGTCCATTTTCAGCAATACATTGTTCTCTCTGGAGAAGGCGATTTGTGAAGTCAAAACACTGCAGTGGAAAATAGTGGCACCGAAGGTAGAAGCAAAAAAAGACAAACTTTTGTAACAGGACTTACTGAAATTAACTTTTAAAGCCGAGGTAGCCCATTAAGATTGGCCTTACACGAGGGCTCTGTGGAGCAGTGCAGTCAAAGGGGAATCTCCTCGACAGCATCACACACCCCAACACCCCCTTTACAAATGATGACTCCGGGCCTCCTGAGATTCCCTTCCTCTTCCCCGACGAGGCGACGGTGCTTCTCCTTGTCACGTGGATGCTGTCCTCCAGCCTCCAGCTGCTGGTCTTCAGAACATTTACAATTCATACAGTAGTTTAGCAGGCAGCATGGTCCCACTGCTTCACATTAATGCCAAACGCCAAACTTGGAACAGAGCTGTTTGGTATTCCCCACCCCACCCCACCCTATAAACAAGACATGCCATTCAGTTTTCAGCTTACTCCTGTTCTGTATCAATTTGTAAGTAGCTTGAGATTTTACATAGGTGCAAACACTTCCATACATTGAGCCAAAGACTGCAGAGTACAAACAAAATTTTATATGACTTAGAGCAGCATCTGACTTAAGAAAACGACAGGAATTGAACATGTTGGATTCTAAGTATCCAGACCAGTTCAGATGCTCCTTTTTATTCATAGTGTTTCATCACTACTTTTTTTTCTCCAGCAATTTTCATGGTAGGAACCAGAATAACAATGGTAATGTGGGCATTATTTCAGCATGGCTGAGTATTGGGACATGGCATTGGTAGAAAGCTCATCTGACAGAATTAAATAAATATATTTCTGATATTTATGGGAGAAAGACTGTCAGAATTACAACGGTGTGATTTATCTTTTAAAAAGGGTTTTAATGATTTAACAATTTTGATCTAAAATCTGGGAACTAACCCAATTTGGGGACAAGAACCTGTATTTCCAATGTGGCTATGGGACATTTCTCTTTTTCCCCATCTCATATACAGTACCCAAACAAATAAAAACTTAAAGGATGTTTTACAGTATTTTTTTCTTTCACTCAGCTTCTTAGAGCTGCAGCTTCAGTTACTATAATATACTCTACACACTTCAAAATTACATAGGAAATACCCAGAGTAACTAAATAAATAAAAGGCTAAAGAAAACTGGAATAGTACTACGTCTCCATCTGAGACGAAATCTTCTACTTCCAGCATCGCAGAGAAGGGCTAGGACAATTTTTTTCAAAAGATTTATATACAGGTTTGAATCCAGAAATTAAGGTTAAAAGCATAAATATTGATAATTTCAACTAAATTCAGAATGGTTTCAGAAAGATATGATACAACAATTTAGAATAAAACAAAGCAGAAGAGCATCATATTTTGGTTTGCTTGAGATTTACATAAGGTGCAACAATCTTTTCTCTCCAGGATGCTGTGGGACAAATGTTAGTGTGGATGGTAATTGCTGGCAGATTAAAGTACACACCATAGCAATACGATTTTCCAAAATAAAAAAGAATGAGAGAAATGAAATGAAAATGGAAATGGGGGCTGGGGGGAGAGCACTACGTATTGGTCTGAAATATTTGTGCTAACAAACGTTGTTGCCTGAAAATACCAACACTCCTCTCCAGCAGATCCAGGGCATGAGAAGCACTATTACCGAAATCAAGACTTCACTCAGAGACGACAAGGTGAGTGTCTAAGGAACTATAAAGCTTTGCAGGATTTCTGCTACTCTCAGTGCCTAACCGCTTAAAAATTAAGCATTTCTACAAAAAGATTTGTTTTTAAAGTATCTGAAAACAGTCATATCCAGTAGGTTGCCCTCCCACCCCTACCCCTGCCTAAGGGAAAAGCCACTGAGGTTTAGGAAAAGCAGATCAAGTAAGATATTAATCACATAGAAAAAAAGTAATCTTTTGTTTTGCTTCTTTTTTAAAAAAGATCCCATGAATATACAGCAATCTCTTAAGGGACTCTAGTGAAATGTAATCGGAGGACTGAAGGAGGGTGCTCTGGCAAAAATAGATCTATTCTAACGTGTTCTATAGAATAACAAGTTAGTACCATTGTCAAGGTGCATGTTCTGCACCATGCAATTTTTGTTTTGTTTTTTTTGGGATTTTAGCTAATTATAATTTTCAAATCACTGCTAGCAAGTGGTCCAAAACTCCAACAGCCACCAACATCGGGACCTAGCAATTCTCAAACATTCACTTTTTTGTATTGAAATTTAGAAAATATTAATAAAACAGCATCATAGTAAAAATATTACACTAAAATCTGGAACTGCTCACTTGATTTATTTCTATTTGAATGGGGTTAAGCTATAACCTCTGATTAACCTTTTACTAACTCCTTCTTCCTCCACCCCCACAATGAATATGCATATTTGAGGACACCATGCCAGTGCTCTGCTGCCCTCTTTATCTGCTTTAAAAAGAAAACAATCCTCTCTATATTTTTTCTATCCTGTTAGTATGTTGTACATATTTTCCAGCACCGAAACTGAAGTAATATCTACAACCATGAGGAGCTAAACCTAGTCAGTATTAATAGAGTCATGTTTTGTATGGCTATTAGGTCAAATTACAATTAGAAAAAAAAAATCATCATTACAATTCAGTCAAGTATAAATAAGAAAGCTACACAAAACCATGTAAACTGTCACCATTTAGAGATCTAATTCAAAAGCTTCAAACTTGAACTAGCACTATCAAAATTCTGCCAGTTTGAAAACCATTAAAAATTATTGCTGGAATCCAATAATTAAAATTTGGTAGTTTGTGCTGTGATGCAAAAGTGGGGAAATACTTTGTGCTCTAGAACAAATACCCTGTAAAATATGTAGCCTCAGACTAATTTTGATTTATCCCTTTGCATCTGTTGCTAGGAAACAAGACACTGTGAACGTCAGGTGGTTAAGTCAATATGTTGAATGTTCTAAGCCAGTTAATCCACTTGGCACTGGCATACGTATGGTTGGTTTTATGTTCGAAAGCAACAAAATACAAAAAGGAAACAGAAACTCGCAGGTGGGTCTCCGGCTGAGAGTCCCACTCTGGTCAGGCATACCGCCCTCATCGCCGACTCGATGCCTCCTAACAGCACAAACTCGAAATGGCTCTAACACCCGCAGCGCCAGCTAGGCTGTGCATAGCAATTGCAACCCGTCCAGTCTGTCTGTGATGGATGGAAAGGTCTGTAGCTCCAGGTCCACATGAAGTGAGTGTCTTCAATATGTTTAGAATAGTGAAGTAATACTAAGGTCACTTCTGAATAATATTTTTGTCTTTTTTTTTTGTTTGTTTATATGAACAATCCATTGGTCACTTAGACCCCTGTGTAAAAATAAAAGAATCCTCAAGGCATGAAAACATCAGTAATCTGTAATCTGCAGGACTCTTCCCCTGTCTGGGAAAATATTTGCCACAATTTGCCCCAAGCAAATTCTTCTTGGTCACTCAAGGCTAAGAAAAAAATTCAGATTGTAAGAGTTGTAATGTTTCTCTCTCTCTCTGTCTTTTTTTTTTGCCAGCAAACTACCACTCTGGTGGCAAATATAAAAGTGCAGAATATATGGACCACGAGGCCGAGCATACACCGCTAACAATGGTACATCTGCCTGCCCATGCTGCTTGGGAGTCTTCTGGAACAGGCTTTTCAATATTTATTCTACAATATAAATGTAGGTATAACCTATTATATAAACCATCTTAGAACTTAAATCTCCATGTACAAAAAAGACTAAGAATATCTAATAATAACTAGTGCAGTGCGTCAGTTTTTGTTTTTCTGTTTTTTGTTTTCTTTTGAAAGAATAACTAGGTAATATATGAAACTAGTTTCACACTCTCTGGTTGGTAAAAGAGATGCTGGATGAGCTACAGTAAAGGCAGCCTTTTACCAAGTTACCACCTATTACTGTCAAAAGCCTTCAATAGAAAGCAAAGCTCCAAAATCATTCTGTTTCTGCTCAATATCATCAGACAGATCACATCACCCTCAAAGATTCTGGGTTCCAAAAGAACAAACTGGCCCAGGATACTAACTTCTGCTTCAAGTGAATCTGGGCCGTGTAGGGCAACAAGCACTTGTTTGCAGTCTCTATTTCCCACCACACGGACTCACTAGCATCCCTCGGTAAAGACAAGGCTGGGGTAGTAGGTAAAGCACAATGTTTTACAAGTAAAGGGCGCTTCACTGGTCAGCGCAGGAAATAAGTACAGGAGCCTGTGGCATTTCTTTTGGCTGTCCATCGTGGGTGAGCGGAGTTGACCTCTGACCTCTGTAAAACAAGAGGAAGGAAAAAAAAATCACTTGTTCAGAGTACGTTATTAGAGACAGGAGAGGATGAGGAATAACAAATAAAAGCTTTCCAGTATCTTGTGTAACAGCTATTGCTGACTTGTTACTTGTATCATCCAATAAAAACTGTTTTTGTCTTTGGAGTTTCTTTTTTGTTTTTCTCCTCCTTCTTTTTCCTTCCTCCTTGCCATCCTCCCTTCCATCCTGAGATTTCTTATCTCAATTCCCCTCATACAATCCAACAATATACCCGCTGGCCCCAAAACTGACCAATTCCATTTGAAGAGATGAAGCCTGAAGTAACAACAGATTTGGGCCATCACCCTAAGAACTGGAAAACTTTCAATCAAGGACTGAAGTGCTGGGACAATCTTCCTCTTGATCCACTGATACTAAAAATGACATGCTCCTTTCCTTGACTTGCCTGAAGGGGAAACTCTCCTATAACAATTGGTATCTGCAAGCTCATTTCTTAATATACATACATTTCTTAATATACATAATAATATACTGAATTTAAAACTCAAGGCCAATAAAAGCAATGATTCCTGAAAAGAAAGGGAAATGAAGTGTAATTCAAAAAAAAGAATGAAAAATAAACAATGAATGAAGAGACTATGAAATGCTCCCAACTAAAGAAAAGTCCATGTGTGCATGGACAGAGAGTGTATAGAGCAAGAAAGCAAGTACTGACTCTGGATTTTAGATTGTAAGAAAATCCAGCCTACTTGGGCCAAAATCAACACATGGAGGGGAAAACTCCAGACAGGACTAGAAAATTCAAGGAAATTTCCATCATTTAGATTGGAACTATGCCAAACATAGCTGATTTTCCATTCAGCTTTTGTATAATTTGTAGTAAAAAATACAATTTACTCCATGGTTATGAGAAAACTGTCCAAAATTCTTGGTAATTTCTGCAGAGCTTCTCATTCTAAAAAAATAGGACTGGGCATTTCCTTGACATATGCCAACAGGTCTAGCAAGCCTAGCTGCCTAGACAATGCACACTCACTTCTCTGTCCCCTGCAATGGTATGAAGCATATAACACTGTACTGAAAATATGTGAAGTACTAGCAATGTTTTCACTGGTTGACCTTTCAATACAGTATCTTCTTCAGAGTACTTAGAGCAAAAGGAGTCCTTGTAAGATTCAGATTATATCTGCTCCAAAAGTATACTCAAGTTCCTCTGGATACACAATAAAAAATAACGTAGACAAATTACAACATTTGGAAGTTTCAGAGTCTGATGATCACTTAATAGCCCAAGACATTTAGGATTTAAAAAAAAAGTGTTAGAATCGAACTTCTGGGTTAACCTGTTTATTCATGTGTGGATGCTATAAGCACCTCCTGTTCAATATGTTCAGCTCTTTTTTAAATAAAGATGAAATTAAAATGATATTTTTCACCTTTAAGATTGAATATCTAATAGTATTAAAAGATCCAAAAGAATTTTAATTAGTATTGGAAAAGAAAAAAAAACAAAGAAAAGTGAAAGATGAAAGTACAATGTAAAAAAAAAAAATACAAAGCAGGAGGGAGAGAGAAACTGGGGTAAAAGTCCAGCTCAATCAATGAAAAAAGGAAAGGAGTTAGGATCACTATGGGAGAGAACTAACTATGTGCTGCAACTAAGTGCTGGTTCTAGCTCCCAGTGGAAGGGTCAGGGGAGAGTCTTCAAGATTTCCTATGATATTGACCTATGCTTTCTTAGGCAGCATGCTAGAGCAAAGAGCAAAGACCCTGGAGCTCAAATCTTGGCTCTGGCACGAAATAGCTGTGTGCTTTTGGCAAGTTAATTAACCGTCTGCACCATCATTAAAATGGGACTAAAAAGGCCCACCTGGGATGGCTAGTTTAAGGATTAAGTTTAATGAGCTCTCCTCCTTAAAAACTCCTAGTAAATAAACAGGCTCTTAACAAAGGTTTGTTCCAATTCTATTTTATGCATGTTGTAAAACTGTTTTTCTGTGTTGGATTTCTCAACCTAATGTTAGATTTTTCATGGCAAGAGGGCAGGCAATGTATTTCTATCCCTAACTCCATGGGCCACCCTCTAAACTATGAACCTAGATGATGCCTAAGCAGTAATTAATTGGTGTGCAACCCAGGTACAATCACATTAAGCCCACAGGTAGAGTGCTGGCTGGTAGATCTGCTTTAAGAGGTAAGGGCTAACATTACAACTAAAATTCCCCATTGTGATCTGCCTTTCTATATATTAGGAACACCAACCATTTGTTAGGTTGATGGTAAAATTCTAGTAATCAATGTTGTTCTTTTTAATGGGAGGTTAAAAAAATAACTTTTACTTACGTTATTTTTTCTATGCCTGCTATCTAACTTACGCAGCCATACTTCAAGAACTACCTCATTTATTCATTCACCCATTAATGTAACAGGTACTGTTTAAGCAAGCTGGGGACATGAAGAATAAAACCAGTGTTTTGCTTTCAAAGTACACTGGAAAGAGACAGAAGCATCAACAAATAATTACAGGCTAATGTGAGAGCTGGCGTAAGAGAGGTATGCACACAGAGTGCGGGGCAACGTGGAACGTGCTGCCTTGATATCAGGACTGAGGGCAAAGGACCAGGGCCTAGGCTGGAGGGAGGAGCAGCCATTCCCGAGAGAGGAACAAAGGCACAAAGGCAAGAACTGGGCTCATCTGGAAAGGAGCAAGTGATTCCACACAACTCCAGGGCAGGGAGTGTGGAGGGCTGGGAAAGGTGGAGTGGGGCAGTTTGCCGTGGCTCTCTGTGGTTGCAGACTGGGTTATGGGAGGCTGGTGGGTTAACAGATCAACAGTGTGACCACAGTCATGGTCTTTTCAGAAAAGAAAGCAGGCAGCAGCAGTGAGGGAGACTGTGTGGTAGCCTTTTCTGAGCCCTGAAGTATAATCCCCCTCTGTATTCTTATATCATCTCTTATTTCCACAATTCACAGGGACACTTAGTAATATTCAGGCAGATATTTGCACGTATGTGTATTTGTTCTCTACACCTGACTATAAAACTCCATGAGTGGAGAAGTCTCTGTGCATTATCTCCCTCAGAGACTTTAGTGGATTTTAACAATGTCAGCCGGCATTCACTTTGCTATTAGGAACTTGGAGTATACACATGAAAAGAAATTTGACTTCTTGGAAATATCTACAGGCTGTTTGTGAGGAAGCACGAGAGCTGTAATGTGGCGGGTAAAGAATAAGAAGCAAACCAAGTTTACATGGAGCTTCCAGGTTTACCTGGACGTGAAAAAGGAACAGGGGCCTACAGGTCTATCCAAATTGTGCTAGGTGTCAAGCTCTTCTGTACCAAAGATTCAAAGTCTAAGAAAGTAACTCATCCATAGGTAATCCACTTTGAATAAAAATATAAAATACCTGAATTTACAAAAAGGCTTTTTTGCCTTCCCAAAGGATCCATTAAGTAGCAGAATACCCAATTATACACTTAGAACTTAATATGCTTTCTGTGGGGCTTTGTCGAGTTCAAAGGGTTTTCACATCTATGATCTCGTCTGATCCTTACAACTTTATAATTCTTTGGGGATATCATTATGTTCAATGTAAGATGAGAAAACCAGGGTCCAGAGAAATAAAATTACTTTGTAGCAAATCACAGAGAGTTGAAGAAAAATCCAGGTCTTTCTGCCTACCATGAGTCAGATACCAAGATGCTCTTTCCCCTGAACCACACTGTCTTCTTATAGCTGGTAATACCACTGCCACCAGCACCATCCTCACATGCCAGCACTGGGATCCTCTATTCATCCCACATAACACCTCTGAATGAGTGCCAGCTACCCTCGTTTTATAGAACAAAAAACCCAGGGCAGTTTGCCGGTGATGGAGCCAGGACTTAAACCCCAGTCTGTGATATGACTCCAAAGCTCATGCGCAATGGTTAGATAACACTGCCTCCCTGCTCTCAGGCTTTTTATGGAAATGAACTTCAGCCACAGGATAATATATTCAACATAAAATACTTGGCTGGCTATATTCCCTTTTATTTTCTCACACTGCTAATTAGCATATACGCTTTTGTATATAAAGCCCATATAAATAGGGCTCTTGAACCAAGTATGAACCCCAACGCATTGTGAAAAATGTCACAAATCACGTCAAAAAGGTCGATTTGCATTCCGCATTGTTCTCCGTCCCTGTTCTGCCACTAACCTGTGCACATTCTCCATGGCTGCCACTTCAGCCAGCGCAGCGAGGCTAAAGAAGGCAGACACGGCAGGCATTTCTGGAGTACTGCTCCGCGTCTCCTCCACCTCGGTGCTGTGTGAGCGTTCGTCATTGCAGTCTGTCTCGGCTGCTTTAGGGAGACTCCTCTGCAGTTGTTCCTTTGGTTTGTCGTCTGTGACACAAGAGAAATCCATCATGAGAAGATCACTTTGTTGTCTCCAGAGAAGAGACTCTGAGAAAACGTCGAGCCAGACAATGTGAAAAGTGCTAACATTCTCTACTGTTCGCTTCTGCTACCCATTGAATATTAAGGCTTTCACAGGATCTCTCCTCCCATGGTAACAAAGCTTTTTTATTAAGCTCAATTGCAACTATGGACAGCACTATGTCCTGATGTTGAGCTGAGGAGAAACTGTGTTATATCCAAGGTCAAAGAATGGGTTGGTCTTGGAGTGGGATGGAAAATTGAGCACTAGTCAAAATAAAATGCAAGGGACTTCTGCAGAGGGTCTGTAGACACTGCAAAAGGGTCCTTAAAAACCCAAACGACTAAACACTTCTCATGAATCCATAGCATGCCCTGCTATGGCAACTTGGACACCGGGTATGCTGTGACACCAACACTCAGGATGGCCCAAACATCAGATTAATCAATCCTAATGAGATCCCAAGTTGTTATTTTGCTCTGAACACCTACTGGAGAGAAGATAAAGGGCCCTCTAGTATTTATAAAGAGGTGCATAAAATGCTATGCAAACATACCTGCTGGAAATGAGTACATTTTCTTTATCACATAGCTGTTATAAAGGAGGAGAAATTTTTTATAATGGGCTAAAAAAATTTAAATATAGAAAGCAACTGATAAAAGCTATAAACGTTATACATTAGAATACGAAAGTTGTATGGTGCTTTTCTACATAAAATGGAGTATTTCCTCAAATCTTTCATTCTTCCTCCAAATGAAAATGAAATGAGGATACAACAGTCTACAAAATGAAAGTCGCAGAACAGAACCCGATTGGAAAGGGAAGGTGGGAAGGGCCCTGCTGGACTAATCATGAGGACATCTGGATTTTAGCCCTCATGCCACTTCCACTTCATTGAACATACTTAGACAAAAAGTTTCACCTTTCTGAGTTTCAGTTCTTATACAACGGGGTATAATTCAAGGTCTTTAATATGCTCTATAGTTCTAACAATCTATCTATGTAAAACATACAGAAAAATGCACAAAATTCCCTAATTGTCCTCTAATTCTAACCCAGCAAACAATTCATCTCTATTAACCTCTATATTAACCCAAATCAGATAAAATGACATGTTCAAGGTACAGAAAGGCAACAGCTAAGACCACTAATGCCTAGCTGGTATAGTACCCCAATATTCTGGGGGTGGTTCTCAGTACCACTCACTGGCCCCTCAGGTAATTCTACTGCCATGGAGGCCATCAGGAATAGCAAACAGACCACAGGCCACGACTGACAATGGGGAAACACTGGTTGGTTGGATTAGACCAGAGAACTCAAGAAATCTAGACGCACTCTCAAGCTCCCGTAGTGGTCTGAATCAGCTTTATAGGAAATGCTGGATGCATTCTAAGGTCTGAATATCTGATAATCTGGCTTCTAGTAACATGAACAGCAGACCATGGAGAAAACAGATTCATCTAGTATCTTTAAAAGTCTAAGTTCTCCTGGAATTTACTTAATCAAGACTTTTGTGCATGTTAAGAAAGAGAAGGGGAAGCTGACAGTCCTAAAAACTACCTTTCCTTTATAGGAATTCAGATATGCTCTTGGAAAAATAGCTGTGATTTTAAAACTCGGAATGAAACACATTTGGGGGTCTGCAGAAAACTGCAGAACAGATCCATTTTTCAACGAGCAATCACAGTTGGCTGATAGCTATTCACTGGCCACCATGGCCATCATGGTCACCTACTTGCTCTGGTTATCTCTGTCTAGAGCTCCCTCTTCTTACCCAACGTGCCTCCTGCTGGTGATACCCGGCCATCTGCTGTCCTGACAAGGTGTGTGATCTTGGTTTTCCTTGCTTTTCTCTTTTGGCTGCCCACCAAAGGTTCTTGTGTCGCTGTTGGCTCTGGAGTGTTGGGAATGGATGGGGTATTTTTAACCTTATGAGCAGGCTCTGTGGTGTTTTTGTCTTCTGAAAATATGGCTGAAACAGGACAAACCATATATAGTTACGCACAAAAACACAAGGCACCAACACTGCTCCAAGAAGGAAACATTTCTACACGTCTGGCTCATCTGAATGGAGAATTTCCATTCAGAATTTCCAAAGTATTGATGGAAAAAAGAAATAAAACATTGCCTGTAATTACTTTACTACTTATTGATATTTATTTTGATAAATTAAGTACAGAGGATTAAGATACCTTTTCTCTTTCTTTTTACATTTTCTAAGTCTTTGGATTTTACAGGTTGGTGGGGGAGGATAATGTATGCAAATCTGAGTAAATTATGTGCCAGGACACCACATGTCCCAGTTGTTACCAGGGCCCCTATCTGAGATCCTTTTGGCCAGTTGGTCTAGAGAAGACAGTAAAAGAAGTTTCTTTTCTTCTGAGGACACTAAGATTAAATATATGCTTCTCAAATTTATATTTATGGTCACTTTCAAAAGCATCAGGTTGGGCTGCTCAGAAAAGAATTGTGAGGCCTGACCTTCGTTTATGTGTATTGACTGATCAGTAAGAATAGGACGACAAACATTGGTGAAGCCAGGACACAAATGAAAGAAACTCCCATTCACTGAATTCTAGGACAAGGTGAATGTGCTTAGTGAAATAATTTAATGAAGTCTCACATATCAGCAGGACTCATGGAGAGGCTAGTTTTAGGTATCCTAATCGTAACACCAATACATCATTTAATAGCACATTCTTGTATCCTGAGTCACTGGGTCAATAGTAGGGAAGACAAGTGCCACCAAAGACTTTACTCTTGGTTTAAACAGATTGAGAATGCTTGTGTCTTTTCTTATTTACTCAATTACTTAGAAGTTCACCACTCCCCCTCATAATTTAAAAGTAAGAAAAGAACATGGAGATATGAGGTTAATAAACATTTAGGGGCATATACATGTAGTCAAGTTTCATGATTGGGAGTTTTTTTTTTTAATTCCAATGATCTAAGGGCTTATACTCAGGGAAAAGAACAGTTACGAAAAATTTAAAACTATCCAATCTCTTAGGATAAGCACAGAAATCATTTTTGACAAAGAAGAGGTAAGTGTGGATCAGAAAATTAAGGTCTGACATGACCATCTCCAAGCAAACTAAACCTAGAACATAAAGGAAGATGGATCTGAAGGTAGATGTTGGCAATAAAGTAATATATGTATAACATAGGAAGGAAAGAAAGCTAAAATAAGAGCAAAAGAACAGAGCAAGAATAACTCTGGGTGTGAAAAAATGCACTTGTTGGTATAAACACTTGCATAGGCCTCATTTAAAATTTTTAATCTAGCTCTCTAATGGGTTTAGGTATACCCTCGAGAAAGAAGAGCTACAAATTAGTAAGATCTTTTGTGCTGGAAATCATGGCACCTTGTCTTTAAAAGATATCTGAAAAGAAGAGGTTGATTCCAGGGTTCACATTCCAAAACAAGTGGGAAATAATTTCAATTACATCAAAAGAAAGTATGTAAAGCAGAAATCACACCATGATTTATGGTTTGGCCTTACCTCAATATTGCATAACAGATGGCTGTGTGGGGACAGGCTTAAGATAACAGTTATTTAAAAAAACTACTTGGCAATGCTCCCAAACACCTTTTCAATCAAGTGATCAAAAATCAGAAAAAAAGGATTATTTTAAATTGCATATCTATACCCAGGTCAAACAGATCTACCTCAAAGATGAACTAATTTACTCACTTAGTCTTAAAATATTTATACTTTGATATCAAGCTTAACATAGGCCAGTGGTGGTATATATTTTAAGATTTTTTTTTTAGTTTCAACTTCGATAAAAGTTTCCAGTAAAATAAAAGATAATTTGGTTAGAAACACTCCAAGGATGTTTCATGACTCTGCTTTAGCCTTAAAATTCAAAGCCTCATGAAAGTATAAAGAAGCCAACATCTGAATTTACAATGAGCATTAAATAACTTCTACTGGACATTCAGAAATTTCAACATTTCTAGTTTCTTATCCAGATCCCTTCTGATTACAGAGGGAGTCTTGCTCACCTCTCTGGTATGATCACTACATTGCAGATGGACATTCCAGAAAGAGCATTAACCTCTTCCCCTTTCTACTTCCTCTTCCTAGAAAAATCCAGAACTTGTGAAAATAAGGGTATAGCAGGGTTCTGCAGAGGGAAAGGTGCATTATGTCTTACATCAGAAGAACTGATTATAGAAAGAAGTACCAACGAGGTAAAACAAAAGGCGTGGATACTAGAAAAAGGCCAAGTCGGCTGGATGACCTGATTTTTACACAGAGACCACAGGGTAATGGAAATAACACAGACACAGAGAGACTGGAATTGTACTCCTGACTTTTTAAATTACTAACTGCCGGACCATGGGTCTGTTTCTTCATGTAAAGATGGAGGCTGCCTAGGTTAGCTCTAAAGGAGCCATCTAGCCCTAAAATAATGTTGGTTTTGGTACACAGTCTGCAATCAGGGCCCTGGCCGGGGAAAAGCAAGCCCCCAGTCAGCTCCAGAATCACAGCCTGGGGAACCATATTCCCTTGACGACCTCTGGATTGTTTTTTATTTTGGTGAGTTTTCAAATGGTTTGTTTCTATTCAATGATTGTTCCTTTTCTAGTCTGTTCAAGATGAACTGGTAAAAGTGCAGTAAGAATCCTCAGGCATGGACGCAAAGGGACCGATTGCAAATGGGATATATGGTTCAGGCCTAAAAGCAGACTGGGACTAGGAAGGGAAAGCTCAGAAACCAGCAGACGAGGAGCCCAAAAGTCCTAGGCAGGCCAGCCAAAAGACAACAGCAACGCTCGTGTCCCAGCGGTCTGTATTCTGGCAGATGATAAAAGAATGAATCAGGTTGCAGACCAAGTGGAAGAGGCAAAAAAAAAAAAAAATACACCGGAGTTTCTCATAAGTCTCTGAAAAGGACGTAATACCACCTATCTAGAAATCTCCTCTAAACCTACTGTTAGATCAAGCAGTAATCACGAGCCCTCAAGATCATTCACATTTGGACAACATATGTAATGTGACCTTGTTAGAGTCTGGAAGAGGAGGTAGAGGTCTGGCCCCATTTTTGATTCAGGGCTTAACACCAGAACATACTGTCTTTGTTTGATGGTTTAGATGGAGGACAGCCCTCAGGGTCAGTCTAGGGAGAACCTTCACCTAAGGCAGAAGAATTGAGGAAGGCAGGTGAGACTGAGTGCAAGATGAATTTGTATGGGACAAAACAGTATATCTCAGTCCAGCAACACTGCAAAGCAAAGCTTGGTGGTGAGGAACAAGAAATGAAAAAAAAACTCAGAGAGGGAAACAAGCAGGAAACTTGAGGACAAAGATAACAAGCCAGTTTCTCCTCCTCCCTGCCCCCACCTAATGGAAAAGTGAGAAAAGAAAGGCTTTGTCATCCAAAACCAAATTAGTCATTTCTCTTCCAGCTTTTAATTGAACACGCAAAACTACACAAGCACTGCGGAACAAGTCCACAGGGCTAGTTTTTCCATTCCACAATAACCGTAACACACTTGGAGCGTGTCCTCTGAGAGTGATAATGCGAGCTCACTCCTGGAACCGCATCGGGAACACTACAATAAGGGGAGGTCTTGTTTTCCAAACTCTGATCCCAAAATGTGGAGTAAGTTTTTTGGGAAAGCAGCACTGCTCTTGTATTGTAGCCCAGGAGGCCACTAGAGTGCTCCAGAGTCATGAATTCACATTCCAAGTGGGGGACTCAAACTTGTGCTGAAATTATTATAGCCAGATCTGGAATCTCATTGTCTTTGGTAGGTCTCCCATGAGCTGAAACGGCAGTTAGATGCTGAATGGAACACAGGAAAAAGAATCAAATGAATGAGCCTCATCCAAGATCCTGGGAGACTCTGCTCAAATTCTACAGCAACTATTTTAAACTTGAGAAAAGAGATCAAGTTAGTCTGGGTGCTGTGGATCGTCTGTGAAAATCTAACTATAAACCAGAGTTTTTCCTGCCTGTAATTAGATTTAGACATTGCAAAGAAACTAATTTTATGGAGATTCCTAGTCTGAGGTTTTGGGGGTCTTTCTCTTATAAGGTATCATTTATGTTTTCGACATCTGAACCAAATGAGGGTTAAAAGTTTACAGATATGCCTGAAAAATTGAAACAGTAATGGCCAATATGCTTCTGGTTCTGTGTTTCAGGTCTTCTGGAAGACCTGGTTTCTTTTCTTCCTGTTTCTGTTGGTTGGGTTTCAATTCCTTACCATGTATTTGGGGCTGATAAACCCTCCTCACTTCACTGGGACTGCTGTCAACATGAAATTCAAAAAATATATATTATGTGAAAGCCCTCTGTCAACTGTAAGTGATAATAAGTATTAATTATCATCATCATTATTGCAATTAGAAACCTCTATTTTAAAGCATGAGCGTATGACACCATAACTAGGTAGAAAGATAAACATCGTCTCAGAGGTAGGTGGTCTTGGTTTATTTGAAAATTTTACCTTTAATTTTAGGCAGCAGGAAATCTCTCTTTTTGGGAAATAGAAAAAAAAATTTCAGAAAGTGGTTTATAACCATTTTTCATTTTAAAAGCATATGAAAAATGCTTAAAACAGATCATAAGCTTAGCATTTAAACCTCAGATTACTAAGCATCTAAAGATTTCTGATATTTGGGGGAAAAATGAATTGCAAGATAGTTACACACAAAGTTACACTTTACAAAGTGGTGTATAGAAAGCAGAGTGAATTTTAAGTCATCCACTTTAACAGAAGTCAGGAACAACCAAACAGCTACATAATTTCAGTTGAACCAACATTTCTATTAGATATATCAGCTACAAACAATTCCCATCTAACCTTTGTGTAGGATGGCTTACCCATGTTAAAATTACTTTATATTATAGTTTCATTTTATGTCCCTCTATATTTATACCCTCCAAGGCAGTTTTAATAAGCAGTGATACAGCCATAGGTGAGGATAAAGTAAAGGGCTTAGATAATCCACAAAGCACACAGTCGTTGATCAAACAAGTAAATGTTGAGGATGATATGAAAATAAATAACTGAAAAAGGTTACTTTAAGTTACTAGTAATTTTTTTTTTTAATTTCAGCATATTATGGGGGTACAGATGTTTAGGTTACGTATGTTGCCCTTGCCTCCCCCTCCCCCCCCCAATCTGAGCTTCAAATATGTCCATCCTTCGGGTGGTGTGCATTACACTCTTTGTGTATGCATATACCCCTCCCCTCCTCCCTCCTCCCCCCCGCCCAATATCCAATAGATGTTATTCTTATATGTGCACTTATGTGTTGATCAGTTAATACCAATTTGATGGTGAGTACATGTGGTGCTTGTCTTTCCATTCTTGGGATACCTCACTTAGTAGAATGCGTTCCAGCTCTATCCAGGAGTATACAAGAGGTGCTATATCATCATTGTTTCTTAAAGCTGAATAGTACTCCATGGTATACATATACCACATTTTATTAATCCACTCATGTATTGATGGACACTTGGGTTGTTTCCACATCTTTGCAATTGTGAATTGTGCTGCTATAAACATTCGGGTGCAGGTGTCTTTCTTACACAGTATCATTTGCTCTTTTGGGTAGATGCCCAGTAATGGGATTGCTGGATCGAATGGTACTTCTAATTGTATCTCTTTAAGGTAACTCCATATTGCTTTCCACAGAGGTTGCACTAGTTTGCAGTCCCACCAACAGTGCATGAGTGTTCCTATCTCTCCGCATCCACGCAACATGTATTGTTTTGGGACTTTTTGATAAAGGCCAGTCTCACTGGAGATAAGTGATATCTCATTGTGGTTTTGATTTGCATTTCCCTGATGATTAGAGATGTTGAGCATTTTTTCATATGTTTTTTGGCCATTATTCTGTCTTCTTTTGAAAAGTTTCTGTTCATGTCCTTTGCCCACTTTTTGATAGGGTCGTTTGATTTTTTCTTGTTGATTTTCCCCGAGTTCTAAGTAGATTCTGGTTATCAGCCCTTTATCGGATTTGTAAGTTTCTAGTAATTTCTGATGCCCAAATTGATTCCTTTTTTCTTGGCCATGTAAAATGAGTGTGCACTCTGCACTAAATAAAGGACCTACATTTTTTAGTGCATGTTCTCCTAAGTTTTATTTATATACATTAATAATAAATACAATTAAACATCACCAATAATAACACTATTCCTACTAAGCCCTTGGGATTGCCTGTGAGACTCAAAATTGATTTACTTTTTTGTCCCCAGATAGGCAGAAAATTAAGACTGCAGAATACGGTGCTTCTAGCATCACAACACTTAGTTCAAGGTATCACAATAACAAAATCATCAAGTGTTAGAGGGAAAAGAGAATTTATAATCTATGTATTACTACATCTGATCATTCATCTAATCCCCAAACACACAAATCACATATGTACTTACTACTAATGTGGAGAGTGAATCCTAGTGAGGATAAATAATTTGTCCTACTGAAAATAGCTGATTAGTGGCAGATCTGAGACTAGAACCTAGATCTTTGAATTCCTAGGTAAGTGCTCTTTCTACCACATTGCACAGGCTCTGGTATCTCTGCAGGGTTTTCAGTGTTTAAAAAATGAAACAAAGTATATATTAATAGAACAGTATCATTTCAAGTAAAGAGTAAAGTGGTCTTAAATGCCTTTTAGATTCCTCTGATAGTTCATCAGTGCCTTACCTTTACCAAAACTGTGTGGAATATATTTATAAATATATTTTATTTTAAAATATATTTTAAAAAGCTAACGTATCAATTTGGGGATATTAGGATTTACTGCTATGAAGAGCACAATTCATATATTGTTATGCCAGCACTTAAGTAGAAATAATATTCCATAGAGGTTGTGAATGTGAATTAACAAGTCAGAAAACAAAACAGATGTACTGCTGGCATTTTCTGTAAAAGTAAAATGATATAAAAGCAGACAGGCTGATGTGAACTGTGCCTACTAGACCAAAAATGTTTGTTTAATATTAACTCATCAAACTTGAATACTTTTGCAAACTATCTTAAAAACATAAGTATTTCTGATAAATGACTTAGGCCAAACATGTATTTTAATTTTTTCCTAATTTTCAATAAAGGAATAAGAGCATATTTGGGAGTCAAGAGATGTGGACTAGGTCACTAAATTCCTATTTCTGGACATAAGTAAATCGAAGGGGTCAAAACTGGATGATCTCTAAAAGCCCTTCTAAGTTTCAAATGAAGCAACTCCTAATTAAGCATTACAAAAACATTCAGCCTTTTTAAAATTCAGTTCTTTTAAAAATATCTACAATGAAAAAAAGGAAATCAATAGGAAGAAGGGAGGGATGGCTCCCCCTTAACCATCACAGAAGTTAGCATTCACCTAAGGGGATCAATATTTAACAGTAATTAGATAAAGTCACAAATAAATATGGCTGTGGGAAATTTCAAAATAAAATCTGCACCTCGGACTAACAACATGACTAGTTAATATTGGATTTTCTTTGGCTATACATAAGCCTCAGGGGCGTTCTATTTAAACATATTTAGAGGTACAGAGTGGTGGGCTAGGGGAAACATTCAGGTGACAAATCACTGCTGCAGGCCTGCTCATGCCCATCCAACCAGGGGAGCCCCATGATTCCCTACACAACTCCCCTGAATGTAAGCATCTGCTTGCAACAGGAACTGCATGGCTGAATATGTTTAGTTAAAAAACTCTAATCTCTGGTTAATCCAAGTCAAAGTTTACAAATCCCCCTTTGACAAATTAACACCGCATGACACATAGCTTAACTCTAGGCAGGAGCCCCCCAAATAGTAGTTTTGTTATGAAAATTAAAAATAACCTAATCATGAACATACAGGTCTAATGCTGTTGGGTGAATTACGCCTTTTTTAAGCCTATAAAGATTATGCTATTTTCAGCTTAGACTACCTGAAATTAAACAATGAATACTGCTTGCTTTACCTTCTGCAGGGTGAATGGCATCCAAGAAGAGTTGCTTGTTTGGCCATTTATCCCCACATCCTAAAAAACATAACAAAAAAAGGAAAGGAAAGTGAAAACTCTACTCTTGGACACACATATTATAAAAACAAAACAATATACAAAATAACAAATAAGAAACATCACACAAATGAAGCAGAATTTTATTTCAATTATTTAATTCTCAAAATGGCATTTGCCAACTAAAATAATTAGGCTATACAGGAAATGGATTAAAAGTAAACTTTTTTTGTATTTTATGAAATATACTATTTGATAATTTCTGCAACTTTAATCAAGGTAATTTGAAAATCAGTAAAAGGGAATGACTAAAACTAATATTTTACCTAGAGAATAATGTTTCTTCGCTGGAAGCAGAGGAAAAATAATGTCAATATACAAAACAAAATCAAGAAACTGAGTGGAGGTGAAAATAAAGCCCAAATTATATAAAAGGTTACATACAGGAACAAGCAGGCACATATGTCTACACATAGAAGACAGCTGCATTTAAAGCCTCATTCAAGAAACATGAAACGCTTCAACATCTGGCCATGCAAGTAGGATGCAAACGGGCATCAGATGAGTAGGTTTATGGTAGTCATGACGCTAGCATGCAGGGAAATGCTGAAGACAGCCTGACCTCCAGAACACTTGGCTGTATTGAGCCAGATGGGAAGACTTGTCTTTTATGTGAAAGAAGAACAGGAGTCCCAAACTATGAGAAGAAAGAGATCTTAAGATGAGCCCTGCAGAGATTCAAGGACTCATCAAGATCACAGCAATGAGACAGATGTTCAGAGTAAAGGGCAGGTAGAGTATAACAAGTCTCTACTGCCCTCTGGAAACAACAGGTATTTGACTGAAGGAGGTGGGAGGAAGAGTCTGGCAAATGATGAAGTATAAAGATGGGGGGAAAAAAGACATAGGTTACAATTTAGGAGTAGAGGAAAAGGTCTACAAGAATCCACAAGTGTCAGAGAAAGTATACGAATGGTGGGTCTTTCATATGAATATGACTGGTAAGATTTCAGGAAGTGGAAAAAATGTGGTCATGGTATGAGGGTTGCCAAACGTGAGAAAAAGAACAGTCAAAGAAAATAAATGGATAAGTGGTCAAGAAGACTAAACTGCAAAACGCATCAAATACAGATGAGAAGAAGCAATTTTAGGATTCATATGGAACTCTGAAAATAGAGACAAATACGGATTTGAATAGGATCCAAGTGAAGGAGATTTGCAATTAGCTGCAGAGTCTAGAAAGAACGACTATGTCTGCGTCACGAGCGGATGGCACAGAAGCAAGTGCAGGGGAGGGAAAGGTGAAGGCGGTGCATGGAAGCATTACTCAAAGATGAGTTCACAATGGCGGTGACCGAGAACCCTTAATGGAGGGTGGAAGGCACCAATACCTTTTTCCGGAACATTAGGCTTCTCCTTTTTGTGCTTATATTTGCTGACAATTTTGTGGAATAAGTTCTTTTTCTGAGACTGGAAAGGACCTACAGACAATATTAATATAAATATATTTCAAATTCACAGTGTTTCATAAAACAATATTGTGTGTTTTTCAACAATTACACCCTCCTCCCTCCTGTGCAACAAGCAAATTGAGTCGCGAGAAATGTCATTTTGCATCTTCACTCATTTAACTGATGCTTAGCCCCCCCCCTTCTTTACGCTTATTTAAAACCTAGTGAGATTTTCTTTAGAAATGTATTGGGCAGAAGCCTCCATTAGGGCTGGGACTCCTACGCAGAAACTGCAGATTTAGTGAGTAGAAACAGACTACAACCAATAATAGCAGAGTGGCTATAGTCTGTAACGAGAAAAGATTTTACTTTAGACTCCTAAATGTCATGAAGGAAAGGATGGCATATATGTTTCATCTCTCCTAAGAAACTGATTTTTCACAACAAGGACAGCACTTTCAGGCCAAAAGGTGAACTGTCGTGACAGCATTAGATAGCTTTCTGGCCTTTTCTGAGAATATTCTAGGAAGAAAAAAATGATTTTAAAATAGAAAATATTTGCCAAAACACTTTTTTCTGGGTGGGACGGGGAGAAGTTTCAGATTCTATCTTAGTTTTCTCAGATGAAGAAAACAGAATTGAGATTTTTCAGTTAACTATCAGAAACACCAACAACAGCATTGACCTCTTCAAAGTAGGTTGCTTTCTACACCTTGTAGGTATTCCTATGTGAAACTGACTTAATAATTTTATATAACTTCTGTTTCCTCATCTGTAAATGACATCATAATAGTGCTTAACTCACAGGTTGGCATGAGGATTAAAAATGCCAGAAGCTTCAAAAGCTGTCCCTAAAGCATCTTCCCACCTACTGGCGTCTGTCTCTATATGCTCTGCCTTCTGGCCAGAGGTGAATCACCTTATGCTCCCATCTCATCAGTTCCTCCACCTGTGCCTTAGCCCCACCCTCCCTATCCGGCTCAACATCATCATTTCTCCCTCTCTTAGTGGACCATTCCATCAATATACAAACATACATTATTCCTCTCAACTTAAAAAAAAGGGTGATGGCTTACACTCAAATTTCCCTCACATCAGTTACTGCCCTAGTTTGCAGCAAAATTCACCACAGAAAGGGTTGCCTATATTCACTGTTTGCAATTTCTCCCCTTCCATTCTGTCTTAAATCCACTCCAACCAGGGTTCTGCCCTTGCCCCTCAGGGTTATCAATGACCCCCATGCTGTGAAGACCAGTTATGGATCCTTATCACACTAGGCTGTATGTGTAGCTTCTGACATTGCCGACCACTCCAGCCACACCCTCTGTCTTGAATACTCTGGCTTCTGGGATACACCTTTTCTTGTTTTCTCTCCTCCTTCACTGACCTTTCCCTCTCTGTCTCCTTTGCCTTCTCCTCTTTTCCCTGACTTCTTAATTTTGGAATGCTCTGGGCTTGGTCCTTGTCCTCTTTACTATTTATTCTCACTCCTCTGGTGATTACCTCTAGTCTCAGGGCTTTAAATACCAGATCCAGGCTGATGACTCACAAATGTATCACTGCAGCTAGGCCTCTTCTATTCTGCATATTTGAAAAGCAAGCAATCTTGCGTTATCCAGCAAGGACTGTGAGAGTCAGAGCCCCAACACCTCTGTAATCTCATATCCTGCTGCTCCCCAGCTTCACTTCTCTCCAGTTGCACTGGCCTCCTGCCTGTCCCCTGCACAAGCAGTCTCAGTCTTCCTGATTTTAGGACCTCTGCACCACTAGTACCTCTACCTAGAAAATGATCTTCCCCAGATATCCAAGTGGCTAACTTCCTTACCTCCTTCGAGCCTTTGCTCAAATATCTCAAGGTTAGTAAAACTGCAACCCAACTCCAAGCCCATCACTGGTGAGCCCCCTTTCCCTCACAAACCTAATATTCTATCTGATTGTTAAAAACGGTTTTATTGAAATATAATTCACATACCATACAATTCACCTATTTAAAGCATACAATTCAATGGTTCTTATATTCACAGGTATTTGCAATTATCACCAATTTTAGAACAATTCATCACCTCAAAAATAAATTCCATACCTTTTAGTTATCACCTCTCCTATACCTGTATTCCCTCTATACCTATGCAATCACTAGTCTACTGTCTGTCTCTATAGGTTTGCCTGTTCTACAAATTTCATATAAATGGAATCATATACCATGTGGTTTTTGACTGGCTTCTTAACTTAGCATAATGTTTTCGAAGTTTGTTCATGCTGTAGCACGTATCAGGCTGAATAATATTCCATTGTATGGATGTAACACACATTTTGTTTATCCATTCAACAGGTGATGGACACTTGGATTGTTTCCACTTTAGGCTATTAGGAATAACAGCGTTATAAACATTCATGTACGAGCTTTTGTGTGGACCTGTGTTCATTTCTTCTTGGCATATATTATACCTAGAGGTGGACTTGCTGGGTTGTAAGTTAACTCTATGTATAACCTTTTGGGGAATTGGAAGACTCTTTAATGAAGCAGCTGTACCATTTTACATTCTTACTAGCAGCATATAAGGGTTTCAATTTCTCCACATCTTTGGCAACATTTGTTATTATCTGTCTTTTTGATTATGACCATCCTAAGGGTGTGAAGTGGTATCTTTCCCATTGTGGTTTTCATTTGTACTTCCCTGGTGACTGATGATGTCAAGAAAATCTGCAGATACTTACTGGCCATGTACTCACTGCATACCTGCTTTGGAGAAATGTCTATGCAGATCATTTGCCAATTTTTAAATTGTCTTTTTTACTGTTGTGTTCTTTATATATTATAGATAAAAGTCCCTTATCAGACACATAATTTGCAAATATTTTCTCCCATTTTGTGGGATGTCTTCACTTTCTTGGCATATTCTTTGAAGCATAAAAGTTTTAAATTTTGATTCAGTTCAATTTATCTATTTTGTCTTTTGTTGCTTGGGCTTTTGGTGTCATATCTGAGGATTCACTGACAAATCTGGCCATGAAGATTTGTCCCTATGTTTTCTTGGAAAAGTTTTATAGTTTTTAGCTCTTATATTTGAGCCTTTGATCCATTTTTAGTTAAATTTTATGTATTGTGTAAGTGAGGGTCCAACTGAATTCTTTTGTATGTAGGTATCCAGTTGTTCCAGCCATTTTTTGAAAAAACTATACTTTTCCCATTGAATAGTTTTGGCACCCTTGTTGAAAATCAGTTGACCAAAAATGTACGGGTTTATTTCTAGACCCTTGAATTCTAGTCTACTGATCTATATGTCTGTCTTTATGTCAATACAACACTGTCTTGATTATCGTTGTTTTGTAGTTAATTTTGAAATTATCTACTTTTTTTTTCTGTTCTTTCTTCTTTTCTTTGAGATTATTTTGGTTATTCTGATTCTACTGCAATTCCATATTAATTTTAGGCTTATTCATCAGTTTCTACAAAGAAGCCAGCTGGGGTTCTGTGAGGGACTGGGTTCAATCTGTTGATCAGTTTGGGGGAATGAGTCTATCTTAACAACATGGAATCCTCCAATCCATAAACACGGGACATTTTTCCATTTATTTCTATCATCTTTTTTTAAACTTTGTTTTAAACTTTGCTTTATAGTGTTCATTGTGTTGTACATCTTTGGTTAAATTTAGTCCTAAGTACTTGATTCTTTATAACGCTATTGTGAAAGAAATTGTTTTCCTAATTTCATTTTTGGATTATTCATTGCAAGTGTATGGAAATACACTAATAATAATATCTAATAATCTAATAATATCTAATAATCTTATATCCTGCAACCCTACTGAACTCACTTATCAGCTATAATAGACTATAACAGTTTTTTTGTGAATTTCTTAGAATTTTCTACATTCAAAATCATGTCATGTGAGAACAGAGATAGTTATACTTCTTCCTTTCCAATGTAGATACCTTGTTTCTTTTTCTTGCCTAACTGGTCTGGCTAGAAACTCAGGTATGTTCAATAGAAGTGGCTGTCTTATCCCTAGACTTAGAGTAAAATCATCCAATATTTTACCATAAAGCATGATGTTAGCTGTATTTTTTATCATTGTCTTTTATCAGGTTGGGGAAGTTCCCTTCTATTCCTTCTTTGTTGAGTGTTTCTATCATGAAAACATGTTGAATCTTGTCAAATGCTTTTTCTGTATCTACTGAGATGACCAAGTGGTTTTTGTTTTTTATTCTATTAATATGATATATTACATTAATTGATTTTTGGATTCTCTTTCTTCCTCCCTCCCTGCACCCCCTCCAGATTTTTGGATGTTAAACCATCCTTGCAGTCCAGGGGTAAAATTCCACTTATTCATGGTGTACAATTCTTCTTATATGTTCCTGGATTTGGTTTGCTAGTATTTTGTTGAGGATTTTTGTGTTCATATTTATAAGAGACGTAGATCTGTAGTTTTCATTTCTTATTGTGTCTTTGTATCCTGTGATTGTCTTGTAATGTATTTGACATTAAGATAATATGGGCCTCACAGAATGAGTTGGGAAGTGTTCATTCTTCTTCTAATTTTTGGATTCATTTATGAAGAATTGGAATTCTTTAAATATTTGGTAGAATCCAGTGGTTAAGCTATCTGTGCTTGGGCTTTTTTTGTCTAGGTACTTTTTGATTACTAATTCAATCTCTTTACTACCGTTACAGGTCTATCCAGATTGTCTATTTTTTTCTTAAGTCAGTTTCAGTAGTTTGTGTCTTTCTAGGAATTGTTGGTTTTATATAGGTGATCTAATTTATTGACATATAATTGTTCACAGTATTCTTTTGTAATCCTTTCCATTTCTGTATAGTTGATAATAATGTCCTCTATTTCATTTCTGATTCTAATGATATGAATCTTCTCTCTATTCTGTTAGTCGATCTAGCTAAATGTTTCACAATTTTGTTGTTCTTTCCAAAAATTACTTTTTGGTTTCATTGATTTTCTCTATTGTTTTTCTCTTTTTTATTTAATTAATTTCATTTAACTAATTTCCTTTTTAATCATTATTACTT